TGTACTGTCCTTACATGGTATATTTCCTCTAAATTTTAATATTTGTTTTTATTTCTGCCTTTCCTGTTACAGACATTTCTTAGATGTTTGGTAATTACTTGGTTGATTACTCTTATTAAAATGTGGTATATATAACAAACTGATTAGAAGCTCTGGAGCTTCTAATGAGACTTAATTATGAGTTTCCCTATATGGTTGGTTATTTAGTTGGGCTCTTTTTGGCTGGGAAATTTCTATCATTAATTAATATCTTGAGGTCTTTCTTCTGGGTTTGTTAGATTACCCAGAGGAAACTTCCTCTGTCTTCTGTCTAGAGGGTAAAAAGTCTCACTGCTAGCATTCTGGGATTTCAGTTGAGGAAGAGGACTCTAGTGTATGTGGGTTCAACTAATCTTCTTGTTTCTGAACCAGTACTATGGTCCTCAGTCTTGGCTGGTGTCCCCTATTCAGAGATTGTTTCAGTCTCCTTAGCCTTTTCCAGTATGGGTAAAGGATGGTTACTTACAGGCTTGGAATGGAGAAGAGAATTTAGAGTCTGTTTCACATTTTTCAACCACATTCCTTATGTTATTTTTAATTTAATTTTTAATGCAGATGCATAAAAGTTGTACGTTTGTACATTTGATGTTTTGATACATATATATTTTGTATAGTGTTAAACCAGGATAAATATATCTATTTCCTTAAACATTTATCATTTCTTTATGGTGAAAACATTCAACATATTCCTTATTTTTGTCCTCCTTTCACCCCTACTTCCAGAAACAGTAGGTTTCTTATCAATTCCTGAGTCTTTTGCAGATTTTAAAGAATAAATTAGATCATTCTTGGTTTCTCTACTTTTGGCTTAAGATTCAGTTTTCTCAGGTTTGCTGAGTTCTTACCACTTGCATAGGCAGTTTTCCAGCTTCTAAAATTTTATTCTTTTTTTTTTTCCTTTTCTTTCCATCGGAGTGGGCTTATGCTTTAAAAAAACAAAAACAAAAACAAAGAAAAAACAAAAAACAAAAACAAAAACAAAAAAAAACCCCCCAAAAACTTTGTTCATTGGTGTTTCATAAAGAAGTGAAAGTG